AGAAGAGCTGAGACACAATGTATTTGCGATAAAAAAACAATCTCAAAATAGAGCAGGCACAAACACAACTGCATCTTGGACCTGGAATCCATGTTCAGCACAGGGTCTCATGCAAATGGTAATGCAAGATATCTGTACCCCTCTAGGCAAGAAATTGCAATGGAAAGGCAGTGGACATCACTACGAGGGTCGAAATAAGAGAGCTGGGATCTGTGCATGGCTCAGCCCCCAATTCCATGCATCCCTGACCAGCGTGTTGGAAAGAAACAGGGCCGGGAGCAGGAATAGAGCATTTCCGCACCTCAGCCTCCCTGCAAATAGACAGCCAGTGAAACAGGATACGAAAGAGATGAGTAGCCCGCTGCGCTCCTGAAACACATTAATGTAACTTAATGGAGTATCTGGCTCCACGAGGCCTTACCGTCCATTATCTGAGGCTTGGCATTACAGCAGAGATGGACTGTCTTGTTATAGTGACCTTTTGAAAAAATCATCTAGAAGCCACTATGCCAGTTAACCGCCTTCCCAAATTCCATAATGCATCAATCATCACTGTTATTGTATGCGCCCCTCCCACCCCAACCTCCCCCCCCCCGGCACTTCCCTGCATCCGTTACCGATTTACGTCCGAGAAATTGTCTGTGACTGATTCACTACATGTGGCATCTCTCGCTGCTCCTGTCCTCTTCTTGCTTTGATCTGGGGGACGGCGTTGCGTAATGAGGGGTTGTGGGTTCGAGCCCCTACTGCGGACACTGGCGCTGTTGTACCTAGAGGGGTACCTAGGGTGTCCCACCGGGGGGTGTTGCTCATGTACTCTCTCGTCTGATGATGCTACAGAAACCAGGACGAGATCTAGCTGTGTGAGATGCTCCGGTATGGTATGGGCTTTGCCCTTTTTTTTGACTTGATTGGAATGAAAACCTCCAACATAAGCACTGAGATGTTGTGTCAGAGCTATCTCCGCGGACATGGCAAGGGCAGTCTGTCCTCCATGCTCCTGTACTTTGAGCTTTGCTGGGATGCCTTGTGCTCCACCGCGCTTGGCTCGTGACCCCGCCCCCTCCCTCTTCTGTTCTTGAAGTCTGGGAGACGTGGGCGCTGGTGTCCGAAACAGCCCCCAGCCAGGGAGGACGAATGCTCAGTGGAGCCTGTTGGCAGCCAGGGAAATGGTGAAAGAAGGGGTTTAGGGAGTCAATAAAAACTTTTTAAAAAGCCTACTTAGCGCTGAAAGGCTAATCCCTCAGTAATCCCTGGCAATTACTCACACCGCGACTGCACCTTTTGTTCACATGGGGAAAGTGCATCTCCACCTTGAAGTCAGAATCAGCACAGAGCTGAGTCATTAGGTTTCCATAGTACGGCAGGAAGACCGTCAATGGCATGGTCGCCCTGTACTGGCGATTCAGTGCTCAGAACTGCACGCGCCTCTCCTTCACAGTGCCGGCATCTTGTACAGTGAGGCCTGTGCGCACTGGGGTTTGAAAGCATGGATGTTCACTCCTAAAAGCATCACAACGTAACTCACAGACGTACGTCAGAAACCCGCCATTGGAATAAAACCATAAGAACACAAGGAGGGGCACAAATTAGAGCGACAAAGTTTGCAGATGAGGGGGTGACGCTTGGCCCGTCTAGCCTGTTTGGTAGTGAGGAGTTAATTGATTCAAGGATCTGTTTCTTGAAAGAAGGCCTCTGGGTAGGGAAGTGCCTCCTGTTCTTGGGTTTAAATTTCCATTTCTTCCACGTGTGTCCCTGGGGTTTTTCCCCAGCATTTCATCCCCGTTCTTGGCTTCCTTCTCCAGACTGGGCAGTGAGAGCCCTCGCTCTTGGGGGCAGGGGGCCGTTTGGAGGGTGTGTTGCTTGCGGTACAAGTACAAGCTCTTCCATTCCTGCACTGCGGTGCAGGTTCCCACACTGTCAAACGAGCTTAACAGATCGTAACAGGTGCTCGTTAAAGCCCATAAAGGGAAAACAAAGCTGAGGCAGGACAAAAGACAGAAGCGCATTTCCAGATTAAGTTGTCATCAAGGAAGACAGCGGTCTTGACCCTCCTTTCTTTCTCTATCAGATGCTGCTGTAGGCCTCTGCTGTCATCGCTGTCGGAAAACCATCCATAACCGCCCCCGGAGGACAGAATATTCTTAAGACCTGTGTTTAATGCACAATTGTCTGCTTACAAGTGAAATCGTGAGCAAGGAGTGCAGATAGTTCAGCAGCTAATTGGTCTGGGCGCTTTTGTCTGCTCGTCGCCCTGTTCACAGCAGAGGCGAGATTCCACACGCCGATGGAAACAGCGAATCGTCGGGTCCATTAAGCGAGATTACAGGGCATTATTTAGCCATTAATCTTCTACCTACTCAAGCGGTTTGCCAAAAAAGCAAACATGACATCATTTCATTCCGTACCATCTCTCTGCCACTGAATGCCCGCGTCTCGCTCTCTGGGCGGAACAGCGATCCCACTTCAAGCGCTCCTCCCATCCTCTGGGGGTGGAACTTGCCCGGTTTGCCCAAATGATTTATTAGAATCACATAAAAGCCTGGTGGCAGGGGTAAGACCATTAGGAGCTCAATTAATGGCTCTGTGGTCTAAGAGATTCCAACCATTTTTCTGAATATTGTGCTTCCCTGACATTTAGAAAATACACACGCCACAAAAGTGCAGTAATTGCTTCCCAATCTAGGAGATGAAATGTTATATATACCAAACATAAACTTGTCTCGGAGGTGGTCAATTGAGTAGACGCTTTGTTTAGTCAATGTAGGATTTCTAACAACATTATCGCGTTATTCACAGTGATTTAGGGTGGATCGTGCTAGTGGGAAATGGAGCTTAATTGAGAGCAATTAACACAAAGTTGAAGGAAGGGCGCGTACACCGAAATGTGTTATTATTCTGTGGTGACAAGACGTTCAATATAAAAAAAACGTAGCACCTTGCACAAACTGTAGCAAGGCATCTGACCACAATTGTTATTTTACTTTAGATTTCTTTTTCCTGTCTGGCCCACACTACCTTAATCCAGTTAAGTGTACGTGAGAAAATATTTTCCCTTATACAGCTTTTATTACGCTTATATTGCAAATGACACAAAGGCACCTTTTTTTTTAATGAAAGGCTCGGATGGTTTAGCGAAGGGAATGCGCTACAGGCAACACAACTCAGGTAGTCGTAATGATGATTTGTGAAAATCCGCAATCAGTTTGCCGCGGGGGAAAAAAAACCCAACATTTTATTGTGGAATTTCACGTTTCTTCTCGTTGGTACCACTAGGAGCACAAACGCCAAATTTGAAAGGGCTGGGAATGGTGACTGTGGCCTGCAATGGACTGGCATACCATCCAGGGCGTACCCTGCCTTGTGCCCATTGCTTGCTGGGATAGACTCCGGCTCTCACGTGACCCTGAACTGGGAGAAGTGGTTATAAATAATGGATGGAAAGATTGTAGGGGCATGATTCATCCTCTTAGTTTGCCGAAGCACCGGCATGGGAAGAATCCGATCTTGTGAAGTGGGTCAGATGGAGGAGGAAACATAGATGTAAGAGATCACAACATGGACCACTTTCAAGGTGAATTTCAAAGCTTGAAGTGAAGAGTCTAATCTCGTAGTTCTTAACCTGAACTGCTCCCCTTTGGTTCTCAAAATCTGTCCTCGCACCCCTGACCAAAAATCATTGAAGCAGGTCACCTCTTTAAATCTAAGACAACTCACTATACAATAAACAAATAATATTATACATTTATTTTAATTCCGCCAGAAAGTGAAGAGTACATGACAAAATCTGCACTTTTTAAAGTTTATCTTAAAATACCTAGGTTTGATGGGTCTTACAGCCCTGTGTTTCATTTGTGTTTTTCGATGATTACCTTCTAAAAACATGTGGCCCTACCCACACCTCAGGTTAAGAACCACTACTCTAAAACCATGTGGTTTCCAAAAGTGGGAAAAAAAAAACAATTTAAAAGAGTGACACAGATCTTAAGTGAAGAAATTGGGATCAATTGGATATAGACTCGGGAGAGGAAGCCTGGGTACTCTTCAGAAACATGGTACTAGGGGCACAGGAAAAAAAAAAGTATAACAAAGGCCAACAAATGACAATATAGAACATGGTGGCCTGCGCGGATTTGAAAGGCATTTGAGAATTAGGCAAAAAGAACCGCAAACTGGATCGAGCTGCAAATACAAGTCCAGAAAGACAAAGGCGAGAGAGACAGGAAAGGAATATATTTATGGCAGCAAAAAAGAATGCAAAGTCATGCTTAAAAATACACAATGCATTAGACCTCAGTTGCAATACTGTGTTCAGTTTCAGACACCAAGCTTTAAGACAGATATTGCTTCTCTATTAGCATTAATAATGAATACGTTCTGTTTCATAACAAAGTCCGCTTTTATGAACCATCTTTCCCAAACAGTGAAGACGGCCTTAGGTGAAACGAATCCGGTAAGAATTTGATTTAATCTTATTTTGTCTGTTTATCAGCGCCCTCTGGCGTCCATAAATTCATTAAAGGCAGACATTAACTTTTTCAAAGTCATCAAACCAAAACAAGCGTTTCTAAACAACATTTATCTACTTATTAGTAAATGTTTCTAATAAGGGAAAATAATGGAAAAAATATAAAACAGATACGCATACAGTTGAAATTTTAGTTTGACTTCTTTTCATAGTTGATAATTTACCAACTGTAGTCCCTGTATCTGTTCTTAAACAGATTTAATTTGAGCTTTGTTAGAACGTAACCTACGTCTCTTTTAGTAAAGGACTACACTACCCAGAATCATTTTCTATTTCTGGAACAGACTTAGGTGTCTGTGGGCTCCTAAAGGACCTTTATTCAAAAAAGTGAAATTTCAAAGGACATATTATATATTTAGATATATATAAGGATTTATTTTTTGTAATGTCATAAGAAACAAAGTTAATGTAAAGACAGTGGCGTCCCATCTGGTGCCTGAAAGCCCCTTTCGTATTTAGGTGTCTACTTAGAACGCCTGTAGGACCCCGTATTGTGGTCGTGCCGTGTTTGTCAGCGTGAGCTGTCACTTTCAACCCATTGAATCAAACCGAGGACTTTCGTTTCTCTTTTTCTAAAGATTTGAAGCATTTCTTTTTTCTTTTAACCTTTTGTTTACGGCGCCAACATGTTCGAGGAGGCCAGCGAGGTGTTTGAGAACATGCTTAAGTCTTCTTTCCCGTTAACTTTCATTGTTTTTCTGCCGGCGGTGCTAATTCTGGTCTCTCCGCTTCCAGCCGAAGCTGCACACGAATTTACAGTGTACCGTATGCAGCAGTATGACCTACAGGGACAACCGTACGGTAGGTAGCATGCCTGGATCGCGATGAATCTCAGAAAACCGTACCCAGGGTAACGAGGGCAACGCTTAAGCCCAAAGCAAAGAGCTAGATGAGGCCTTCATGTTGTAGAAGTCACCGTGACTGTTTTGATATGTTTTCTAAATTGACTTGACGACACTCGAGCGATACTGACTTGCACAACAAGAAAAAATGTCGGTTTTTTCCGCTTAAGTGCTGATTAATCGATAGCGACAGGAACGGTGTCAGGGCGCCTGCGGTGCAGCCCGGGGGCAGTGTGATTGTACTGGTTTACCTTAAACAAAAACACAACATGATATGAGAATGTGATTTTGTTAAAAGATCGATTGAGCCCAGAGGGACATGAACCAGATTGATTCAGGGACGGCTGGAACCAACGTGTCCCCTGTGCACGGCAGTTGCATGCCTTATGAGTCTCAAGCGTCCTGAACAAAATCTGAGAAGGTACAGCAAAAGTTAAAGGTTGAGGCGAATTTCAATCTCGCTCGGATCTATGCAAATCGGGCGACACGCCTGAAAACGCACCTGGTGTTGCTGGCTGTCACGCAAGAGTTGAAGATTCGCCTGCACCTCGTGTAAAACTATCACAAGGTCGCACACGCCATCAGACGTCTTGGAAAGAAACTGCACTGGCCGTCTTCAGGGTGACACGGAAGGAAATCGGTAAAAGGTTTATTCCATGCTGGAGGGGGAAAAAAAGAGAGACAACGTTTCTACTGGGCAGTTTTGAAGCCGAAAACGTTGCCCAGGACAGAAGTAGATAGATTAAATATGTTCTTTTTCAGCCTACTAATGCTGACACCGCTACCTTTTCGAGCTAAAAGAAATTTGCAGATTAAGCGACTTAATAATGACAGGAGCTTCTTCTGCGATCTTGTGGTGGAGAGGCTTGCATGTCTGAAAGAGAACTCTGCTGGTGGGGGGTTTTGGCAGGTGAAACCATACCAGATTGGTCCCAGGCGGGGAGAGGCTAGACAAACTGCGGCACATCAGGCCCTCTAGGTTGGGGACAGTGCCACACTGGAAAGAGCAAACCTGTTACAGAAACTACAGTGAAAAACCTGACTAGCAACAGGTCCTCTGCCCACTCCAGCCAGCCGACAGACAGTGGGATCACTCCTGCCGAAAGACCTCCAGGAGCACAGTGTGAAGGGCAGAAGACGTTCAAGTAGCGAGCTGCATCAGCATGCATAAGCTGCAAAGGAACAAGGAAAGGTTTATCCCGTGCTGAAACGAAGAGAGACGCAACGTTTCGGCTGTGGAGCCTCAGGTGTCAGAAGGCTACCCTTGACCAGGGTGAAGACTAGTCTACTGGGACCTCACTCCGAAGGCCACCTTGGATCGTGGAACGTCCGAACCGTGTGTGAAACGTCGAGGCACTCAGAGAAATGAAGAGATGAGATCTCGACGTCCCGGCAATCGGCGTGCGTCTCCAGATCTCGGCTCCCGTCGTCAGGAACAAGGCATGGAGCGGTCGATCTTCATTCGGGTCACGAGGACATGCATGGTGTAGCAATCGCGCTCTCTCGAAGGAAAAAGCAAGATCCTTCCTGGCCGGTGAAAGAATGATGACGGTGCGCCACGACTCAGAAGCGTTGCAGACGCACAGTCTGGCAATCCTAGGTCTCCTCTGGAAACAAAGGAGCCCAGGACAGAAATAAAGTGGCAGGAATTTGTTCTGGCCTCATGTCACACGTGCAACGCAGAGGATGCTCAGTGAGTTCTGATGACAGGAGGGCTGCATGCACGTTGAGACCTGTAGGCGATTGTGTTTTATGAACCAGAAATCGATGTGCGTGTCAACGGGGGTTTAAAGGCATTCGCACTGTGAATGGTGAAATGAGCGGATGGTAGCCGTGCTCTGCATCGAGTGCAAGCATAACGAGTGTCCGCCTGCCCCTCGGCATGTCCCCCTTGCGTTCCCAGGCACGCGGAACGCCATATTGAACACGGAGGCGCGCACGGCGGAGGCGGAGGTCCTGAGCCGCCGCTGTGTGCTGCTGCGGCTCGTGGACTTCTCCTTCGAGAAGTACCAGAAGGCCCTGCGCCAGTCGGCGGGAGCCGTGGTCCTCGTCCTGCCGCAGAACATGTCCACCATGCCGCAGGACATCGTGCAGGTGAGGGCGGTCGGCCTTTCGGGATCTCGTGCGCCCTGCACGGTCGCTTTCCT